GCCAAAAAAATTAAATAAAATGCTAACAATAGTGTGTGGTGGTATAGGGTAAGTATTTCTATACTGATTAGATATTATGTGACCCATTCAAGGAAAAATTGTTATTTAGCAGGTTTTATGATTACCTAAAGTCCAAGCTTCAAGGCCCCCTAAGGTCATCTTTCTTGTCATGTCACTGGTCCTACTGAATATTTTCCATACACATAGAGTGCTCAGAGGTAGTGTAGAATAGTGACCTGGTTTCAAGTCCCATTTCTGATATCCACTAGTTTTGTGAACCAGGGCAAATCATTTAGTGTCTCAAAGCTCTAGTAAGCTTTCTATGACTATAAACTGAGAAGTTACAGACCTGCATTGACTGAGGGAGTTTCCTTCAATCCCTATTCTTATCTTTATAGGTTGCTGAACATTTTCCCCATCAAAGAGCCAATAGCTATGATTCTACAGATTCTACTTGAAGGCCCAGTAATATTCCTTGCCTTCCTGTCCTAATGAAGACAGGTTACTACCACTATTTAAATCTAGCCTTAAAAATAGTACATTCATGGGACTTGCTTTAGGCAAATACATTGCTCATTAAAATTTTTATGTTTCCATCATTAAATTATTCTATTCTTCAAATGGCTTTTTTTGCATAAAATATTTAACTGGTTATGAGTATTCTCTTGTTGTATTATTAGTTTCTTAGCTTATAATTGACCCACCCATTCATCACTGGAATCTTTAGTATTCCTTTATGAGTCAAGGAACATTTTTTTTTATCAGTTGTAACAATGAATAACTAATTGAAATTGCTTAGATGATAGCTGCAACTTATAACAGCCCCTTCCCCACCTGAGGACCCCACTGCAATTTGTCTAAATTAAACAGATGTTGTTTGGATTAGTTTCCCCTTTTGTACCTAGGGAGTCATAAGAATCTTGCCTTCCTGAATGTAGAAGGTTATGGAAATCTGCCACTGTCTCCCTCCTGCATTCTCTCCATCTGGGTTTGGACTGGAATAGAGAAATGAATGGTATAGTAAAAAGACCACTAGCTAGAAATCAGCATGTTTCCAGGTAGAAATGAGGTAGAGCTTATTTCAGGTCTGCCATTCAGTACCTACGTAACCATGGGCAGGTCACCTTTATTCTTTGGACCTCAGTTTTTTTGTTTTATCTGTAAAATGAGGCTAAGGTCTAGATTATCTCTAAGGCCCCTTTTAGTTGGAATACTCTATAATTCTATGAAAAAAAAGGACTTCTAGCTTTCATCAATCCACGCAGGTGAAAGATGCTAGCAAAGTATATCCTCCTATCAGTATCAATGAATGGTTGACAATCGCACAATTCACAGAATTGAGTCCTGGATGCAGTCATTTGCTTAGCTCAATAAAGCTTGCTTTTCCTTTAGGTAGAGTAGGAGGCCAATCAATCACTCAATCAAATAGTCATCAGGTCTTTATTGAGGGCCAAGTCACACCCTTGGGGTGTGATTTCAGGGAGCATCTGGAAGGCCCTTCCATTCATTAGACAGTATCTGAGATTTACTATCAGAACACCATCATTAGCTTAGGGCGTTTTTTCCCATTAAAAAGTTCTATGAGCTATCACCACTCATCTACCCCTTGATGTAGATGAGAACAGATTTTAATAAGGAGAGAATATAAGTCTGTAGGATGCCCTGACTCAGAGGTAAAGAGGTACTATGATGGTATATTCCATCTTCTTCCCCTCTATCATTGCACAAGCTGTCCAGTAGGCCTGGAATGCACCCCTTCCCCATCTCCGCCTCTTAGAACCTCAAGCTTCCTCTTTAAAAAATATATGGAATAAAACAAGCATTTCCATAACATAGTAGAATAATAAAAAGATGATTTGCACACGAAACTGCAAATCTATATATAATAGTTATCATATAAATTTCTTTTTTTTCTTCTCCCCACCTTACCCTAGATATGGCTACTATTAGACACAAATACATATGTGTATGTATACACACACACACACACACGCACACACACACACGCACATATATAATACGTGTGTATACATAAATATATGTATGTATATATATGTAAAATCATTTTATATATGTATTTCTATTTATCAGTACTTTCTCTAGATGCAGATAACGTCTTCCTTCATGTGTCCTTTTTAATTCATTTGAGTATTTATAATAGTCAAAATGACTTATTCACTCAAAGTTGTTCTTAAAATAGTATTGCTGTTACTATATACAATATTTTCTTGGTTCTTCTTACTTTGCTCTTCATTATTTCATGCAAGCCTATTCATATTTTTCTAAGATCATTAAACTCATCATTTCTTTTAGCATATTATCATTGTAATTATTAATCCTACAGTCACCAGGTTATAAACGACAACTTGTTCAGCCATTTGTAGTGGCAAACAATTTGAAATTGTGGGGATGCCCAAATTTACTTACAAGTTTAGCTTAAGCTTTACTTTCTGCATGAGGCTTTTTCTGATCCCCCAGCAATTAATGCCCCCTCTTCCCAATGGTCATGTGTTTATTTTGGATATATTTATATGGACACATGTTGTATCCTCTGATAGAATGAAAGCTCCTTGAGGACAGAGGTGGTTTCATTTTTTGTCCTTGTGTTTCTACTAGTCTTTGCATAATAGAAGCTTGTTGAATGATTCAAGACTGAGCCACAAGGTAATATTGGAAGATGCCATATCGCTGAAGTACAGCATATGGTGCCACGGAATCCTCTGGAAAAGATGGAAGCCTAAGCTATTCATGAAATTGCTTATAAATGCCTCATTTGGTACCTTTGCTATCTTTGTAACAAATGTTCATAGTTAATATAGCTTTAGCACTTAAAAAAATTATGTTTTAAAAAACACATAATAGGTTTTTTCCCCTATGAATGTGAAGTCCAAAGCCCAAGTCTCCACAGGTGCATGGTAAGCCAGAGATAACAAATTGTTGGCTGTTCCCAGTTTTCAATGAATAGATTCTAATTTCCATTTGTACCTCAGATGAAATGATTTGTTAAAGGAATTTTTTAACCTTCCAGCCTTTGCTATTGTCAACCATTCAGTTGCAAGTGCAAAGACTTCTTGTGGAAGAAATCAGAAGAAGCAAATATGGAAATAAAAAGGGCTGTATCTACTGCAGTCTTAGCTGATTGATAAAAGCAGCCAGGCAAAGATGGAATTTTATGTATTAAGGTTTTTTTTTTCCTCAGTAAGTGGCTACCCTGCTGGTAATACTATTGACCTAAATAAGTCTTAAGTCTGGATGTCTGGACTATTGTCATTGAAGTATCAAGAACATAAATAACTGGGGGTTGAGGGGAGGAAGAAACAAAACTACCTGAAGTTTCCATCTCACTAAGAATTTTACCAAGAGTTTTCCCATAAAGTTTTGTCTATTTTTAGAATTCAGAGTATTTGTCCATCATATCTATGTCATAAATAATGGCTAAGTTCCAAGGCTAAAGCACAAGTCAATTTGCCCCATAATGTATCTGATATAATGTACATTTGTAATAAAAATGTGTATGACAATACTAGTAATTAGACAAAATAAGCAAACAATACAACTGAATAGAAAAGTTTGTTTATTTGTAATGCTTGTGCAGGAGGAAAACGTTTTCATTAGAGGAAGAGTAAGTAGATGGAAACTTCAGTAGAAATGATGAAGAAAGTTCTAGGAAGTTTCAATGGCCTTATGAACTGTTGGCACTAGTGCCTTACGAACTTTATTTTTTTCTCCAAACCCTTTCTTTTGTTTTCTGTGACACTGGTGTATCACTGCCATCATTCTTACATTTATCTTTGAAGATTAAGGTCGTTAGAAGTGCTCAGAGGTAGAGTAAAAAGAAATAAGGAATAAGAGAAGAGGGTATATAGGGAAGAGAAAGAGTAACAAAAGTGTACATCCATAAAACTTGGGAATCAAAAGTGAAGAGATAACATTAAGCTGTGAGAGGCATACCATGGAACCATAGAAATCAGAGTTTTGATTTGGAAGGGACCTTAAAGACCATTTACATCCAATCTCCTAGTTAATAAGATGAAGAAACCAAGGTATAGGGGAGGTAAAATAACTTGACTGAGGTCTCACAACTAGCAAAGCTGGTATGAGGAACTGTCTTCAGACTTCTTACACCATTTTTTTTCCTTCACCACAAAACTAAATGGGGATTCTGTGCAAAATTATCCTGAAGGGAAAAAAGTGTCCTTTGATGGCACAGAAAGTGCTATGTACCCAAAGCAACTTGAAATGAGTTGCGGGTATGTAAAAATGAGGAAGCAATGAATTGAGTTAGGATTGGTGGGGGAGAAGGACATAGTATAAGACCACATAATATGACAGAGTATGTTTTAAAATAGATACTCATTTGAGGAGTACCCATTGAAGTATATACTACTTTTACAGAAAAAAAAACCATTGCATCAGTGTTGAAATGTCAGCCTAGATAACTTACCATTAATCTTTGTAGAATGCCATGTGCAGTCATAATGGAGCTAAGCTTGACTACATTTGACAGCAGGGTATCTGCAGACTGACACCAGCTTCACTGTACCAGCAGTTCTGCTTACTTTAGAGTTGATAGCCATTGATGAGAAACCACCCACCAACCTATAATTAGAAGATTGTTGAATCTGACCTTTGAAAAGGAGACAGACAAGATTGACCTTCTGTTTGACACTCAGTAGGAGTAGGGACCAACTGTTTTCCTTATGTAGTTCTTTGTGATTGTCTCTGATTCAAGAATGACATTTAGGCCAGTGCCAGCCAAGAAAGGGAAGAAAGTTGGAGGAATGAGAGAAAATGGGATAGAGGAAAAATGAGTGGATATCCACTGTATCTAAAATTTACCTGTCCCTATTATGTATTTGAAAAAAGTAAAGAAAATCTGTCCTGAGTGTCAGATTTTATTAGCCTTTACAATGCTACTTCACTTAATATAAATATATTTTTGTTTATTTAGAACCAAATTCAATAGACTTAATGATTTTGTTCTTTTCTCCCCTTCTTAGGCTTACTTTAACCTTGTCTTGTCCAATGGACTTGAAGAACTTCCCCATGGATGTCCAGACTTGTACAATGCAACTGGAGAGCTGTAAGAACTTTCATGAAACAAGTATTTTTTTCATCAATGTCCTGCTTCTTTTTCCCTTCCATTCCCATTGAGAGGAATTCATCAATAAGCTTCACTTATCTACTAGCTAAGAAATCTCTTTCTACTAAATCAGAGATTCTTAAACTGGGGTCCATAGACTGAAAGTATCTGCACAGAGATTTCAAAGGTTCCATGAACTTGGATGGGGAAAAAAGAAGCAAAGATTTTACATATAACATAAAACATTTATTTTCACTAATCTGTAATTAAATTTTAGCATGTCCTTCATTTATGAATATAGGCAATAAAATATTATGTTTGGAGAGTCTCACTATCAGGCTGGAAACGGTGATAAACTTTTGGGCTCAACAACTCTCAAAGACAAATATATGTCTTCAATTTTGTGAAGGCTGATCCCCTCAAGTCAACAAGTCAAGTCAATAAGCATTTATTACACATTTGTCATATGTCAAGCATGGGGGTGAGTGGAGGTACCACCCCAGGTTGTTATAGAAAAAGAAGTCAGGAGTGGAGCCCAGAGAGGAATGAAGGCATGAATTTGGATGGTTCAGGTCGCTAAAGGAGCTTGCAGGAGGAACTTATCAATGAAAAGAGGGTACAAAGTGATCTTTTAGGGTGAGAAGACTACCTAATCATGGTAGATAAAGAAGTCTGGAGAATCAAGAGTGGAGAACAGAGAGGAATCAAGGGGTGACATCAGTGAAATCACAGACACTTAAAGTAATGCACATACTTATAAATTCAAAAGATCAGAAATTTAGAGCTGGAAGAGACCTTAGCAACCATAGAGTCCATAGAGTCCTGTCCTCCCCCCGCCCCATTTTTCGGGTGAAGAAACTAAAGTGTAAAGTGGCTAAATGGTCACTCAGGGTTATACAGCTAGTAAGTATCTAAGGCAGGATTGAACTCAGTTCTGAATCCAAATCCAGTGTCCTATCCATTATGCCATCTATCTCCTGTAGAACAGAGTTCTAAAGCTTCTTCTGGAACTTAGGAACAAACAAAACGACCCCATTACGCACCATATCCAACGCAGTGTGGATAGAGAAGAGCTTGCCAGCATTTACAAAGGAGAGGGTGAATTTGTTTCCCTCTGGATGTCCAATTACACCCCAACAGTCCTGGGCTTGCCTTTCTTCCAAGTAACCAAGTGCAAAATCATCCCTTTCCCCGTGGATCTGCTTTCAGTGGGGCATAAAGAGGAAGGTAATTTGATTATCTGATTAAACAAATTTACAGAAAGGTGAGAATGGCTAATGTACTTAATGTTCCCAGGAGTTATTAACATTTTAGAAGATGAACTTATTGCACAAAACATCTCCCCCTCCTAATTAGAGATTCCTTTTGTTTAATAAACACAAAAGGCACTTGGAGGGAAGTCAGCCTGGTGTGGTACTTGTGAGGTTGGGATAGGGTAGAGCAGGAGTGGAGAAGCCTGAGCCAGAGGTGCTGAGGGGTGAGGGAGAAAGGGTCAGTCCCGGAGCTGGGAAAGGATTCAGAAAGGAAAAAGTTAGGGCACCCAAGACACTTCTTGCTTACTTTGCCACTTTGCTGAGGACCTGTACCCCCAAAATCATTTTGCCATGTTGTCATTGGCATACATGCCTTCAGGTAGCTAATGCCTGAGTCCGAGAATGGAATTTCAAGCCAAGAGCCCTGGATTTTCTTCTTGCTCTCTCCCTAGTGTGTTGTGCTAGCTTGTGAATCAGAGATAGTAATGGATACTGAAGACCTTGCTGGGATTTTGGGCACTTTAATAATAGAGTGAATATGAAGCACACTGAACTTCTTCATTTGACAAACAATAATTAAAGGGGGGCACCATTATTATAAAGAATAGTGGCACTGTTCCTTTGCAGCTAAGTGATGCAGTGGATACAGCCTTAGCCTGAAATCAGGAAGTGCAAATCCAATCTCAGATACTTACTAGTTATGTGACCCCTGGATAAGTCACTTTAACCACTATCTGCCTCCATTTCTTCATCTGTAAATTGGGATAATAATAGCACCTCCTTTATAAGGTTATGATGAAGATCCAATGAGAAAATTTTGTGAAGTGCTTTGCAAGCCTTAAAGCAAAATATGAATGTTAGATACTATTAAGTGCTAGCTAACTTCTGATTATTTTATAATGTAATAGACTTTCCCATTAAACATATTACCAAAATACACACACACACACACACACACACACACAACACACACATACACATACACAGTGGAAAAGTCAGTTTTGAAGGTGAAGCTAGTCCCAAAGTGAGCTTTAATTTCATGATAGACTATATTTATTCCTGTGAATATTATATTGCCCATGGCCTGCTTGGTAGTCAGGAGACCTAGGCTTTCATCCCTACTCAACTACTTACTTGGAAGGAGACAGCCTGGTTTGTAGTATGGCTTAAATATATGTACATTAAAGAGTCTCACCATAGTCTGGAAATGGGGTGATAAATTGTTTTGGACCAACAATACTCAAAGACAAATATATGACCTAGAAAGACTGTTGTTTACTCATTTTTCAATTGTATTCAACTCATTCAACCCATTCAGGGTCTTCTTGGCAAAGACACTGGAGTGGTTTGCCATTTCCTTCTTCAGCTTATTTTATAGATGAGGAAACTGAAGCAAACAAGGTTAAGTGACTTGCCCAGGATCACACAGCTAATAGATGTCTGAGGTTGGATTTGAACTCAGAAAGATGAATCTTCCTGACTCCAGGCCCAACAGCATATCTACTGCTCCTGTGCTTTTGGGAAGCTTGATCCCACATGTGCCAACAAAGGTCTATGTGGTCAAAGCTATGTTTTTTCCAATAGCAATGTTCAGCTGTAAGAGTTGGACTATCTACAAGGAAAGCTGAGAGCAACAGAATCTATGCTTTTGAATTGTGGTGCTAGAGAAGACTTTTGAGAGTCCTTTGGATAGCAAGGAGGTCAGATACTTAAAGAGATTAATTCAGGCACTTCACTGGAAGGTTAAATACTAAGCTGAAGCTTAAATACTTTGGCCTCTTAATGAGAAGATGAGACTTGTTAAAAAAAAAGACCTTGAAGTTAGGAAAGATTGAAGGTAAAAGAAAAAGGAGATGGCAGTGGATGAGATGAATAGTGTCATGGAAGCAACGAACATGAGCTTGGACAGACTTTGGGAGATAGTAGAGGATAAAAGAGTCTGAGGATTGGCGTTCATATGCTAGCAGTGTCACTTTGGGCAAATCACTTCTCTGGGTCTAAATTTACCCATTTGTAAAATGAGGTGGTTGGAGTAGATAATCCTTAAGGTCCCTTACACTTCTAAATCTTCCTATCTACAAGTTATTCCCAATGGTTATAATCCAATGTTAACTCTACACAGAAGCTCACCATTCTGATTCTTCACCCAAAGGTTTTCAGACAGGGACTAAGACAAAGGAAAGGTGCCCTACTAGGACAGATAGATTCCAATTAACTTTGTCATTGATTTCTGTGTAACTCTTACAGAGGTGCTGTCCTACAGTAATTTTGTTGAAAATAATGAGTGTGCTGTAGGTGAGAGCTGACCTGTCTAAACCTCTCCATTGCATATTTCCCCACCCAATCTCTGTTCATTCTTGCATAAAAATAACACAAACAAAAAGGAAAAGTGACACAGGGAAAAACAGTGGCCTTCACTTATGGAATGTGTTTTGGCTTATGTTTATCTATGCAACAAAAATACAGAAACTTTTATTACTGAGCTGGCAATGATTCTTTCTGATGTCTCAGGAGTGATATGACACAGGATCTCATGGGGTCTGACACTTGCTTTTCTCCATAGGCATCCTAATAAGCATGATGAATCATGCTCTATTTGCATATTCTATTCATTTATCTGCCAAGTATCTCCCTCATTAGATGAAGTTATTAAGATTTAACTGTAATAACTTGTAGCACAAAGGTTTGTTGCAGGCAAAGCTCACAGACCCTAGGAATGGAGGCAAATGTGTAGTGGGAATGTTTAGATAGATCTCTAATGGCAGTGGGAATGTTTAGATAGATCTTTTATGGCAAACTCATCCAAAAAGATGAATTAAAGATTATCTTTCACCTGGAAGGCTATGGAACTATCATGCTATTAAACAGACAGTTATTTAAAATGCTTGTTGCTATTACAAATCATTTTAATGATATATCACAAATAAAATCAAAGGGCTTTGTTTCTTTTGATGGAATTTAAGATTTAAAGAGCAAGGATGGATGGACATTCAGTTAATTATGCTTTATTATCACATAGAGTGAAGTCTGGAAACTAGCCTTCAGTCTTTCATTTTAATTTCACTGGCTATGATAAACATTTAAGTTTCAATTGTATAGATTATCCCCTACCATATATAATATACATACATACATACACACACACACACACACACACACACATATATATCTACATATATATGTGTGTGTGTGTGTATGTATGGATAAAGAACTAGCCTTAGAGTCAGAAAAATCTAGGATCAAACCAGACAGATGGACAGTTTAGGAAACTCTCTAATTGGTAAATCATCTGTAACTTATAGTCTTAGAGATCAGCTTGGTAAGCTGAGAGTTCTGGTGACTTGTCCATGAATATGCAGACAGTATGTGCCAGAGTTAGGACCTGAATCCAGTTTTCCCTGACTCCAAGGCCAGTCCTTTATCCATTACATCACATTGCCTCTTCATGATTACATACTTTTTTATAGTTCCTTAATGAATCTTTCTTGCAGATTCATTGAGAAGTCCTCCTTCAGACATTTCTGTTTTATTTTGTTTGTTTTTTCCCATCCCATTCATTAAAGTTTTACACTTTCTGGAAAGTGTCCATTGTACTGACCAAGGTGATTTATTTACTCCAGTTGGCTACACCATGAATGACCTGATATTTGAGTGGCTAAGTGATGGCCCAGTACAAGTGGCTGAGGGTTTAACCTTACCTCAGTTTATTTTGAAAGAAGAGAAGGAACTCGGATACTGCACAAAGCACTACAACACTGGTGAGTACTCTTTCACTTGCTGAACTAAGGCTATTGGGTTTGGTTTTTTTCGCTTAGCTGAAGAAATAAAGTGATCCCTGCTCTCTATGTAGTGTCTGTAATTTAGTTTATTTCTCATTAAGTTATTTAATATTCATTGAATGGGCATACATACATAATACTAAGCTGCAATGTACAAGCAAATTTAATACACAAAGTCCTTGTGACCTCTAGAACATGTTGGGAGAGATAACTTCCCTGAGATTCATTTTAGATATGATCAATATGCAGAGTCTTAAACTAAGTCTTCAAAGGCAAAATAGTCAAATAGAATTTTTCCTGAAGAATACAGTTCCTTGAACATAGTAAGCACTTAAGAGAGTCTCATTTTATCTATATCTAGCTATTATCTATCATTTCTCTCTCTCTGCCTCTCTGTCTCTCTGTCTCTCTCTCTGTCTCTGTCTTTGTAAAATGACTTTAAAAAAAACTGTATGTGATTTCATGGGTTTGAGGTCCAGCTGGAAAGAATGGATGCAGAGACTAAACTTTATGCATAGGGAGCAAAGCTAGAACTTAGTCCTCGTGGAGCCTATCTCTGGTATACACTGTTGTCACTGGCATGCTGGGTGAAATTACACATGGGGCTTAGCACTCTCTGCCTTGGTAAAATAGGATATAATAACTTGCTTGTTTGTAAACCCAGAAATAGAGACATCCTGCTTTCCAGTGCTTCACAGTAATAGAAGCTTGGATAAGATTCAGCTGGCTAAAATTCATCTGGCTCCAAGGACATAACCTGGAGGGGGAATGAAATAGTGATGATAGGCATGGGGGACAATATTGGACGTGACAAAAACAGGTTCTTCTATATTTGTGCCTGAATGACTGTGGCCATCTAGTGAAAGATGGCTATCTCCCCTTTGAAGACTTGGCTCTTAAGTCTGTGCATTGATCATACCCAGAGTGAATTACAGAAAGGCTATCTATTCAGGATGCCTTGCCCAGGTGCAGCCCTGAGTAGTTTATCTGCTGAGCACAGTAGCTCATGAAGGCATATACAAGCTATCAAGGTCACATAGCTAATTGATGGATGCCGTGGGACTAGAACCAAGGTGTCCTGACTCACGATTCAGCGTACTTGCAGCTACAACACTATCTGCCTGCCTATGCGTCTCTCTTGATGCTGTCAGAGATTGGTAAGCATTTCCCTTCTCTGTTTTTGGTGAAGTAACCAGTTCAGTGGTATCAGTTAAATAGTCAGTATCATTGATAGCCTTAAGAAAGTCTGGTAGTTATTTCTACTATAGAACATCAGACTTCTCCATAGGCTATGTTTATCTTCTGTTACATCCAGATTTCTTATCTGGTCACCTTCTTAAGTATCCAGACACTGTAGTTTAACCAAGAATTGTTTATTTTTAATCTCTTATGAACTTTGCTATATGGGAAGGTATGATCATTAAAACTTTAATCATATCTAAGGGAGGCAGCCCAGTATAATAGATTAAGGACTGGGCCTTACTGGGTTCAAGTCTTGTGTTTTCACTGGCTGTTCCTCATGCCTAGAATTCTCTCCCTCTACATTTCTACCTCCTTGGCTTCCCTGGATTCCCTCAAGTTTCAGATAAAATCGAATCTTCTACCAGAAGCTTTTCCTGTTCCTCCCTAATTCTGGTGCATTCCCTCTGCTTCATTATCTCCAATTTATCCCATACATACCTTGTTTGTACATATTTGTTGTCATATTGCCTCCCCCATTAAACAGCGAGCTCTTTGAGAGTGAGGATTGTCTTCTGCTTTTTTTATATTCAGAACTTAGTACAATGCCTGATGACTAATAGGTATTTTTATATAATATTTTATTTTCCCCCAATTACATGTTAAAACAATTTTTTAACTTTTTTTTAAAAGTTTTGAGTTCTAAATTCTATCCTTCCCTTCCTCCCTCACTCCCCGTCCTCACACTGAGATGGTAAGAAATCAGATAGAAGTTATACATGTGCAAACATAGAAAACATTTCTGTATTAGTAAGACTAATAGATATTTAATAAATATTTGTTGACTTATTGACTATCTGGATATTTAACCATGGGTAGGTCATTTAACGTTTCTGACTCTCCATTCTTTACCACCACCACCACCACCACCACCTGTTTTCAGGCTTTGCCTTCCTGAATGTAAGCTCCTTGTGGTCAAGGATTGCCTCTCTTTTTCCTCCTATTTCTATCCTCAGAACTTAGCATAGTGTCTGAAACATAGTAGGCACTTAATAAATGCTTTTTGGTAGCCTGCATGCTCCCAGGAAACTCTCTATCATTATAATCAGTGATGAGAGATTCTACACAGGGTGGGGGAAGTGAGGTGGGCTCACATACCACTAAAATTCCCAAGTTCCTCAAGCATACTCTTGCTCACTATGGCTCTTTCAAAAAATCACCTCTATAAATCAATGTTATAGAAGTCAAATAGTCAGTTTATGATAGCCTCAAAAATAGCACTTTTTAAAAAAAAATTCAAGCCAGCAAGAAAAGATTTTAATTAAAACTTAACTGAAATAATTGGTGGTATACTTCTTTACTCTAGGATTCTCTGTTTCCTCGTCTATAAAATGAATGAAAAGAACTCAATGGCACTAAATTTATGATTTTATGATCTTGTAATATACTACTATCATTTTCATTACAATAAGTAAGGAGAAGTCTGCTGAACATTTTTTGTAGGTGGTTGTTTTCTGTATCCTTATCTCTGTCTTTATCTCTATTCATATACATATTCACATCCATATCTATATATTTACAAGCAAAGGTTATTTATTGGAATAAAACAAAATATAAGGTGAATTCTACAAAATAAATTCCCTGTTTACAGGAAAATTTACTTGCATTGAAGTCAAATTTCACCTGGAGCGCCAGATGGGATACTATTTGATCCAGATGTATATTCCTAGCCTGTTGATAGTCATTTTGTCCTGGGTTTCATTTTGGATCAACATGGATGCAGCACCAGCCAGAGTGGCCTTGGGTATCACCACAGTTTTGACAATGACAACCCAAAGTTCCGGTTCCAGAGCCTCACTGCCAAAGGTAAGAAGTTTGCTTGGTTGGATGAGTCCGGTTTCATCAGAGTTCTTTTCTATTGGAAGAATCTATGTGGAAATAAATATATGCTTATTTAAACAAGCAGGAGATAAATATTGTGTTTGAATGTACTTAAAGTAGGGATAGTGAAAACAGCATGTTTGAAGATAGCCATTTGGGTTCATCAAATTCAGATGCACACAGCAAAGGAGAGAATTAGGATCAGGAAATTACTTAAGGAAGTTATTGAAGGTTGCCCTAATTTTCATCTTTGTTGTTCTTCAATCATTTCAGTGGTCCAAGGAAGCCTGCAGGGAATTTGTGTAGACTAGATATGCCTTAGGCACAAAAATCCTGTAAGCACAAATTGAGTTGACTATTCTGACTTACCAAGCCATGCACCTATATAGAAATTGGAATTATGGTCCTGAACTTTGAATGAGATGTTCTCATTGATAAACAATGTGAAAGAATGAATATGTAGCATTATGATGCTATAGCTTACCTGTTTAAAATAGCATGTGCTAATACGTTGAATGTTTCTTGCAGATTCAGTGCTTTATCCTGTCAGTTAGCTAAAGGAATTATTTAAGTGGTGGATTTTCAGGCATCATGACAAGTCAAGGGGGTGGAGAGGAGATTATTTATAACACAGGCAGATCTTTTGGTAACTTTCAAAAGTGGTGTGTTGATAGCTCTTTCTTCTGCTCCCATGTAGGATAAGTCATGTTTGTGGAGGCTGTATATGTACATTTGCATGTGAATGTACATAGGAGTATGCTTTAAATGAGATATAATGAGCATAAAGTTGAATGTATGAATCACCTAGAAATTCCTAATGATTAGTTTTGAATTAGAGTGTTTCCTAAAAACTCAAGAAAAGACCAGAGTAAACCTATGTTGGTCTATCTCCTGAACAGAGGACATTGAGTCATTAGCAAAATTTTTCCCAAATTATTTATTAAATTTAGAGTTGAGTATATATTGGAGCAAGTGGATGGGACAGCATTCCCAGTCCTCAGTCACAGAGAAGTCATTGAAATCTCACCTCACATCTTGACTGCTTTGAGATCATGTTAAATGCAGTGCATTATCTTAATGATAAAATTCAAACCAAACCATAGCAATGGTGAAACAGTCTTTCTTACTTTAGTAAGAAACAGTACCTGCCCTCAAGGAGTTTACATTCCAGTGGAGGGGGAGACATAGAGGAGTGATGGACAGGGAAAGTTTTTGTCTGGGTAGCAACAAGAATAACAAGTAGAGCCACAAAACATTCCTTTCCTATGCCCTTTCCAGAAACAATGGTATAACTGATGTGTTTGCTAACAGAAGAAAAAATGGAAGGATGGGACAGTAGATGAATGGGAGGACAGATATCAAAAGGTCCCCAGATTTCTGACATGGGTAGTTGTAAAGCATAATCTGGGGTGTCTGGCTGTTGTCTTTTAGGAGAATTTGCCCTCATTCACTGGCCAATCAACCTCTGTCCCAGGGTAGAATTTCAAGCTGAGAAAGTTAACTGATATAGGGAGGGGAGAGTAGGGTCTCTGGACCAAATAGGCCTATTTTGGGTGCAGAGTGGGAGCAATGGCAGGGCAGATGACAGCGTTGTTATAAACTATCCAGGATGGATGATGAAAATGAAGATGATGATGATGTAGAGGGAGGGATTGTGAATACAAGAAACATAGTTATCCAAAGCTACCAGCTTACTTATGCTTCAGTGTTACATACTCTTCAAATCCAACAATTCCAGCAAATTATATACATATAGATGATCTAGATGTAGCACCTGTTATGTACAAGATACTGTGCTAGACTCACAAGATACAAAGGAAAAATTAAACAGTCTGTGACCACAAGGATCTTTTATTCTATTGGGAGGATGCAACATGAGTCTAGAGCAGTAAATAGAAAGTAATTTGAAGTGGGACAGAGAAACAAAAACCAGGGGACAAGAAATATCAGAGATGACTTCTTAGAGGAAATTGCACCTTAGTGGTCTTGAAGGATGGTAAGAATTCAGAGAATCAGAGGTGAAAGGGGGTACAATCCAGGTGTAGGGGATAGTCCCTGTAAAGGCTTGGATACGAAAAACTAGAATACTGAGTTTGGGGAATGGCTATAGTCCAGTTTTGGCTAGAGTAGACCATGAAATATAAAATGGAATAATTTTATGAAACGAATCTGGAAGAGATAGATTGCAGCCAGTTTGAGTAAGATTTTCCATGTTAATCTAAGAAGTCTAGGTTCTATCAAATGAATAGAAACTCTATACAAACTTTTGTTTCCCTAATGAAAGAACATATAGGGATTTTTTTGAGGAGAGAGGGCATTTTTGTTCTCATGGGAATTTATATTACTAGTGATACCAACCACCCCCACCATCTCTGCCCCCAACCTGGTTGCATCATTAGAAAGATCACTTCTAGTCTGGCAAAAAATAAGAATTCACTCTGGGCCTATTTATTTGTTTGTTTGTTAATTGTTATTGATCAATTTTGTTTCTTTCTTATTGTATCCCATGGGTAAACACATGATTTAAGTTTGATGGATAGCTGAAGTATAAATCAATGTAATTTTAAGTCTTGAATCAGAGAACATTAAACCTCTGGTTACTCATTGCTATTAAAAGAACAACAATTTATTTTCAGATAGAGAGCTGGAATATTTTCACTTGTTACTCCTACTTTTTGCTAATGCCATTTCTATGAAAAATATTATAATAGTCAAATCACCATTACTATGTTAGTCCAAACCATCAATATTATAATAGTCAAACCACCAAACAATCTGTATACATCCAGATAATATTGTACTTTATCAGTTCTGTATATTGGACTATCGCTGATTCATGAGCAAGTTATCTGCTTTGTAGGGTAACCGTAGTTATTTCAGTCTTCATCTCTGTTTCCACCCACTATGAGCCCTCAATAGCAGAGCTATCAGGTTTTATATTAGGGTCTAATTGAGAGAGAGGGAGAAGGAGAGAGAGACAGAGAGAGAGAGAGAGAGAGAGAGAGAGAGAGAGAGAGAGAGAGAGGGAGAAAGAGAGAGACAGAGACAGAGAGACAGAGAGACAGAGAGACAAACAGAGACACAGAGAGAGAGAGAGAGAGAGAGAGAGAGAGAGAGAGAGAGAGAGAGAGAGAGAGGCATCCACATATGCATGTGTGCATGAATGTATGTCTATGTATATATTTGATTCCTCTCCGAGATCCATTCCTGACTCTCTGGACTTTCTCTCCCAACCCCCTGTGACCTCCTGACCCTGAAAGTTCACTCTGCCCCTGACTACCTCATGTTGGAAGTACACTCTATTCCTATGTCCCCTTTCTCTGATTTGTCAGTTTTTCACCGAAAATTCATTTTAAGGAAAGTGCCCAAGCCAGTCCTGTCTTTATTCCTCTCTGGACATTCTCCATCATACTCCCACATGGCTACCTTCTTCCTTTTATATATTGTCTTCCCCTTTTAAAATGTAAGCTTCTTAGGGATGCATAGGGACTATCTTCTGTTTGTATTTATATTCCCAGCACTTAGCACTGTGCCTGACACATAGAAAGTATGCTTAATAAATGCTTGTTGATTTGTTAATTTGACTTGACATAAGTGTACTGCATTCTAAAGATGTTAATACAAAGAATGGTCCAAGGTCTAGAAAGTAAATCATATGACAGCTGCTAGATGACACAGTGGGTAGAGCCCTGGATCTGCAGTCAGGAAGATATAAGTTCACATTTGGCCTCAGAAACTTGTTTGCCTCAGTTTTCTCTTCTGTGAAATGGGGGTAATAATAACAGCTACCTTCCAGGGTTATTGTGAAGATCAAATGAGATGATTGTAAAGTGCTTAGCACAGTGACTGGCACATAGTAAAAGCTATATAAATGTTAGCAATTATTACCATTATTATTATCTTACACTTCAATTCCCATAATAAGTATTTGTAAAATCAAAACAAATCCCCAAAAAGCATAAAAATAAACACAGTTTGTGTTCCAGCATTTGTTGTAGAACACAAAGAGATGGACAAATTCTATGAAGAAGGCACTCCAAATTGGATAAGCATATGCTTTCATATTCAGTAACTTTGGTACTGAGCATCAGGTTAATGGAAAATGTCTGAAAAATATGACAAGACCAACGACTTGTAGACTACATAGACGTCTATACTTATGTATCATAGATGTGTTTTTTTAATTAAAAAAATCACATAATTTTAGGCTCATAGTCCAAATGAATCAGAGATCAAGAGCTGGAAGGGACATCAGAAGCCATCTAATCCAATCACCTAATTTTATGTTAGGAGACTAAGGTTAAGTGACCTGCCTAAGGTTTCACAGGTAATGAGCATTTCATTTGAACCCAGGTGACACTTTAGTGAATAGTCTTTTCAATGTACCCTAACAAAGCAGAGGACTTTGAATTTGTCAGGTGTTGAAAAACATCACCAAAAAAAAAAAAAAGAAATTAATTGCATTTTATCTCACAGAAATGAGGGGATTCATTCTTGAATCAAATTCTTTTAGACAAACTATTGACTTATTAAAGTTCAAAATTAACAAAATAAAAAGGGTAAATTAGAAAAACACATGATATTTATTTAAAATAACCACAACCTAACCTATTTAATTAAGCTATTGATTTTCTAAATGGGAAATGGATAGAGGAAAGGACATTGGTGCCAAAAACAAAGATTTAGGATAGAAGTTTAACCAACATAAATCAAATAATGAGACTCCCCCAAAAAACCTGAAAATTGTATTAATTAATAAATATTTGGCTTATATGTCAATCTGATAAGTAGTGAAGGAAAATGCCAGTTTTGAATGCAAACTTATCTGAAATATCTTACAGAGGATTGTTGAACATCATTTATTAGCAGCATCCACTCAGAAATGAGAGAGGAGCCAGGAGGAGGAAAATTGGTTTAAAGAAAGCTTGGCAAGAGATCCAACTGAAAACATCTTGAGGGCATTTAAGGATGAATCTGGAAAGAGGATAACAAATAGATGAAAAATTGAAAGTATCTGTAAAAATTTTATAACAAACTCTTTTTATCA